TTTTATATTTAGAGATTATAGACGGGTAGAGAGTTGTAAAGTGTTCGGTGATCTGTCGCTCAGGTGATTTGATAGATGACTCGTGTTAAAGGGGTTAATACACTTGGTCTAAGTCAATTGTTGCTAAACTCCTGTCTAAAGAATGTCTACGGAAACACTAACGTTTAAACAATACCATGCCATGACAGTTTACCAGTCGATTCGTGTAATTCAAATTAGGTGTCTGTTGGGTGAGGTTTTAATTTTTGGTAGGTTGTTGTCAGTAAGGTGGCTATTAATGGAAGTGTATTCTATTTACGTAGTCTGACCTGGGAAGAGTCTTCTTATGCTACTCACCCGTGTGTTTCTTGTGTAGCTTTGTCTTTGTCTTTGTCTAGTCTTTTTCTTTGTCTTTGTCTTCCTTAAAACTAGCTCTAACATCAATCAGTTGATCTGCCTGTCATTAATGTATGTAATTAAAAATATCGTATGTACCGTTGTCTGTCACAGATCGGTGATACTGACACAGAGTTGTATAGAGCAGCTTGTGAGATCTTGCTACTTATGTCTCAACTATAACAAACTCAATCTTACATGATGAAATACATTATTCAATCTTACATGTTGCTATCAAATATTTGATGTAACATATTGCTATAAAATATTTGTTACATCTTGCTATAAAATATTTGATATTACATGTTGCTATTAAACATTTGATGTAACATATTGCTATAAAATATTTGATGTTACATGTTTCTATAAAATACTCAAATTATACATGCATGTTTATCGGGTGAGATTTCCCATGAGCCACCTATATGATGACTTATATCAGGGCAGTAGACAGCCTTTCATTAATTTAGGGAGCAATTCAAACTGTATATTCCTATTGATTTCTTCTTCTATTGGCAGGGGATAGGGATGTAGAGAATGTGTATTCGCTCCTCACACAATATCCTGATGGGTATCAATCTACTCCCGAAATTCGAACTGTTTTATTTTACTGTTTCAGATAGGCAATGTAATACTATATTTAACAAACAAAATTGATGAAAAACATAATATTAATCTTCTTATATAAAAAAGATGCTAAGATTTGTAATCAATAATTTGTAAATGCTATTTTTTTTATTTTTTAGTTAGTGTAAGGATTTTTATTTTACGATTTGCTAAGTGAGTTGAGCTTTAATGATTTACTTAGGCTGATTACTTTTAGAACAACTTTACATTTAATGAGTTAGGTTTTTAAATTAAAATTAACTATTTTTGAGTTCGTTAGCTGTGTAATTATATTAGCTACTACATTGATGTAATTTTTAATTTCTGTATGACATAAATATATATATATATATATATATATATTTATATATATATATATAAATATATATATATATATATATATATGGCAAATCGAAAAAGAAAAGCAGGCTGAAATCAGAGTCAATTTCCTCAATGGCGCATAACCATTTGGAGGGGATCCCTTCCCACACAAAAATTAAGAACGAAGAAGAAGAAGAACATAGCAGACACAAATAAAATCATTCGATTATTGCAGTCCCAAAATTTAAATATCTGACTTCATTCGTTTCTTAAAGAAAGACAAACAATTAAAACGTAAAAATAAACAAATCAAATTCTCATCTGTATTGATGAATTATACACTGTCAAAGTGAAGAATATAGACTACTGCCTTCATGTCTGATTGAAATGTTTACCCTAGGTGTGACATTTTAAAAAAAGTTATTCATTAGATACAAGCGTGTCAGTTGGCGTGTTAGTTGTTTTGTTAGTGGGTGTGTCAGTGGGCCACCTATATATCGTGTGAGCAATTTGGATACTGAAAATAAGAACAAGCGACTTAAGGGTTACAAATAACGAACTCAGCAACTAGAATATGTCGACACTTACCGCAAAATCAATATGTCTGAGCTGTTCAAACATACTTTTGTGTTAACTATCTCCACGTCATGATACTTAGAACATATACTTCGCTATATTAACTATATGTCTCACTTTTTATAAGTTTGTTTGTTTAATACAAGTTCTTGCCGATCTCAAGATGAGCACTATACTAGGGTGTCACGTGATCTCAAGATGAGCACTATACTATGGTGTCACGTGATCTCAAGATGAGCACTATACTAGCGTGTCACGTGATCTCAAGATGAGCACTATACTAGCGTGTCAAGTGATCTCAAGATGAGCACTATACTAGAGTGTCACGTGATCTCAAGATGAGCACTATACTAGGGTGTCAAGTGATCTCAAGATGAGCACTATACTAGCGTGTCACGTGATCTCAAGATGAGCACTATACTAGCGTGTCAAGTGATCTCAAGATGAGCACTATACTAGCGTGTCGCGTGATCTCAAGATGAGCACTATACTAGGGTGTCAAGTGATCTCAAGATGAGCACTATACTAGGGTGTCACGTGATCTCAAGATGAGCACTATACTAGGGTGACACGTGATCTCAAGATGAGCACTATACCAGCACTTCATTATCAGCCGTTGTTACACGAGTTCATAAAATAAAATTTCTATGTAGATAGAAGAATTTGTTCAAAACTTGAATTTGACCATCTCGTGAGAATAAAGGGATAATGTGGTCAGCTTTATGTCCAGCTGTTACAGCTGTTCCGACAGTCTAGAGTGGGCATTCTAAGGACTCGGTACAAGAAAATTAACAGGAGACTTTCGTGATAAAAATAGTATCTGTAAGTCTGCTATGTCGGCACTAAACAAAAACAGATTCTGGCTCTAAATTGTCGGCACTAAACAAAAACAGATTCTGGCTCTAAATTGTCGGCACTAACCATAAACAGATTCTGGCTCTAAATTGTCGGCACTAAACAAAAACAGATTCTGGCTCTAAATTGTCGGCACTAAACAAAAACAGATTCTGGCTCTAAATTGTCGACACTAACCATAAACAGATTCTGGCTCTAAATTGTCGGCACTAAACAAAAACAGATTCTGGCTCTAAATTGTCGGCACTAACCATAAACAGATTCTCGCTCTAAATTGTCGGCACTAACCATAAACAGATTCTGGCTCTAAATTGTCGACATGGTTTGTTAGATCGTATTTCAGTGTATACTAGAATACCCGTCATTCGTTGGATAACTGTGGGTTTCGGGGGTCATCCATCAAAAAACATCATGTCTGTCACTCAGAGGCATAGCGACCCTTCCCGGCGCCCGGGGACAAACTTTTCTATTTGAACCCCCACCCCCCACTCAAACTTTCGATTTGACCCCCCTCAACCTTTCAATTTATTTTTCCAAACCATTTTGGCGCCCCAACATATGTCCCCTCGCCCCCCCCCTTCCCCCCTCCATCTCCCCTCCCCCCCCCCCCCCCCGCCTCCCCTCCCCTACCGCCCCCCCCCCCCTCCTCGGTACGCTACTGCAGTGTCACTTATCGTCACAAAAAACAGACCCCACATTCAAAAATATGTTTTTTATCTTTTATTTATCTTTTAAAAACACCGAAAACACCGATTTCGGGCTATCCCTTCATATACTGACGTCACATGTGACCTACTCAACTCTACTTCACCTGCCCAGTGTCCCGCCAAGTCTCTGACAACATGTATTTATCGTTTAAAAAACGATTCTAGCCGAGCATGTCTCTGACCACACTATCCTTTCATATGCTTAGGACAAAGAAACAGATGAACCCTACTTCACCTGCCCTGTGCCCCGCGAGGTCCTGATAGTCAACATATATATGTTTATATATATATATGTTTATATATTATATATATATTATTATTTATTTATATAATACACTTAGTGTCAGCCACCCCTTTAAAAATCTAATTAATAATTTTTCTTTAATATATTTTGCAAAGCTTTAGTCTTGGTGTTACCCGGTGTGATAACAATTATATATCTGACTTTGTGTTATAATAATTAGATATCTGACTTTGTGTGACATAAAACAAAAAAAATTACATGGACACTATTTTAAATTATTTAAAGGTACATTATTCATGTTTCTTAAAGATATTTTCTATTTTAATTGTTATCTCCCTTTGACTGCTATTGGCATTGTTTTTAACCACCTACTCGTTGGTTCAAGCTTTGGGGAAGATGAACTATAGTTCACTTGTTTTTGTGACCACGGCATATGAAGAGATAGCGTGGTCAGTAATATGACCAGCCGCCTTTACTTTTCCTAACGTGAGTCAGGTACCCATCAGAGCTGGGTGGACTCAGGGACGTTCTACTGACCATGTTCGAACTCGAGACTAACGGGATAGCAGTCCAGCTCACTACTGCTGGCCACTCCGTCCCTTTAATATTCGGAGTCGATAGATCTAATCTTTAGCGTCAATATTGTCGCTAGATCCCAACTTTGGCGTTAATATTTAGAGTCGCTAGATCCAAACTTTAGCGACAATATTGAGAGTCGCTAAATCCAAACTTTAGCGACAATATTGTCGCTAGATCCACACTTTAGCGTCAATATTGAGAGTCGGTAGATCCCAACTTTAGCGTCAATATTGTCGCTAGATCCAAACTTTAGCGACAATATTGAGAGTCGCTAGATCCCAACTTTAGCGTCAATATTGAGAGTCGCTAGATCCCAACTTTAGCGTCAATATTGAGAGTCGCTAGATCCAAACTTTAGCGTCAATATTGAGAGTCGCTAGATCCAAACTTTAGCGTCAATATTGAGAGTCGCTAGATCCAAACTTTAGCGTCAATATTGAGAGTCGCTAGATCCAAACTTTAGCGACAATATTGAGAGTCGCTAGATCCAAACTTTAGCGTCAATATTGAGAGTCGCTAGATCCAAACTTTAGCGTCAATATTGAGAGTCGCTAGATCCAAACTTTAGCGTCAATATTGAGAGTCGCTAGATCCCAACTTTAGCGTCAATATTGAGAGTCGCTAGATCCAAACTTTAGCGTCAATATTGAGCGTCGCTAGATCGAAAATTCAAACAAACAAAAATGAGAAAGAAAACTAGTTGATTGAAAACTGTTTATTTACGTTAATATTTTATTTTTACAACAAAAATTGTGACATTTTTTTTTCTCCACTCCCAATCAAACAATCAACAACTTTTTCTCTGATAAAAATAACGAGATAATTAATTAAAAGTTTAATAAAGCTCTACAATAATGTCAAGAAATATTTTAAGAGCAGACAACCAACAGGCGCCATGTTTGTTTACATTCTAGAAAAGACAGACATCCAACAGACGCCATGTTTGTTTACATTCTAGAAAAGACAGACAACCAACAGGCGCCATGTTTGTTTACATTCTAGAAAAGACAGACATCCAACAGGCGCCATGTTTGTTTACATTCTAGAAAAGGCAGACATTCAACAGGCGCCATGTTTGTTTACGTTCTAGAAAAGACAGACAACCAACAGGCGCCATGTTTGTTTACATTCTAGAAAAGACAGACATCCAACAGACGCCATGTTTGTTTACATTCTAGAAAAGACAGACATTCAACAGACGCCATGTTTGTTTACATTCTAGAAAAGACAGACATTCAACAGGCGCAATGTTTGTTTACATTCTAGAAAAGGCAGACATTCAACAGGCGCCATGTTTGTTTACATTCTATACAAGAGCAGACAACTACAAGTCCAATTCCCACCACACCCCACTATAATTTAATCCACCAGAGTTAGCTCCACTGTGGGGATGGTCAGACCCCCAGCCCCACCCCAGTCTGTAGACCATAGCCCCACTGCTACCTGGACAGGTGGCCGTTGTGTACGTGTACCTGGTCATGTCACGCCCCGCCTGCCTGTCCACCCAGTGACCTACAGAGACCTGCTTAGAACAGCCATGAGGATGTGACACTATAATGGTCAGCTTGACCACATCTCTACGACTCTTGTATTTGTCCTCTACTTTCTTACATAGACCATAAAACCGCCACTCCATCTCCTCCAGTTTACCACCTACATCTACGTCATGTGTCACACAATACAAACTACACACGTCTTCCTCAGTGTCTGACTCGCCCACCTCCCACCCATAAATCTTGACCACTGGACTTTTATCATCATCAAACCACAACCTACAGCTGGACTGCCTCGCCTCACTATCATCAAACACCACATGTGTGGATGTCCACACACTAACCTCCCACCACACATTGCTGGGTGTGTCCGAGTGGTCACATTCAGGACATGGACAAGTTCTGTAGCCGTCCATCCCCTCTGTGTACTTGGTCACCCTCTCCACCTTCCCAGTCCCTGTCCTCAGTGAGTTCTGTCCCCTGGTGTTGTAGCAAGGATATGGTTCTTTAGTGCCTGGTACAAACTCTGGTCTGTCTGGACTGGTCAACTTAACGGCTATCCTGACAGTTTGGTCAGCCAGGACTTTAGTGAGGTCATACACATCGTTGTCACGGTAACCAAGAAAATGTTCAAGACTTAACTGATTTACAGGTACAAAGTTTTTATGGCCAGGATTTTTCTTGCAGTTTGCCAGGTGTGTGTGTAGATCTACCTCACCTTGACCTTCAAGACATTCTTGTACTTCATGTGTACCTGTACAGGTAAACAAAACAATTTTATTACTGTGAACATTTCATTAGCTGTGAAACTTTGACAAACATAAAACATGAAAACTATCTACAACATCCAACTGTCACTACCATCTCAACCATCACCATCATGCAATTAAAGCAACACAAGGACTTCATCACTGCAGAAACTTTCACTAGCCTCATTGATAACATTTTGTATTTGATGCATGCATTTTCTATATAAAAGGCAAACAAATGGACATTACCTGTAAAACATTTTGATAAGTCTTTTCCACTGGCCATACTGGTGTGGTCACTTAGACCTCTTGTAGTTGTTGATAAATTACCAATATCTGTAAAGAAATTATGGTGATCAGATTAAATGGCTTATGGTTTGTTATGGTTTTTAAGATTCAAAACTACACAATTTAATGAAAATACAATTTTTAGAGACAGAAACCCTAACTGAAAATCTTATTCAATAAAATAGCAATTTATTTCAATAAAATAAATAAAGACAGCCATTAGCCATTCAAGAGAAACACAATCCTACATGCTGGTCAGATTTAGAAGATTATGGTTAAATAGCCACTGAATGATGTGGAAAACAGAATACATCATGAGGGTCATCTTTAGAAGATTATGGTTAAATACATTCTTAGACCAACATACAAGATATAATGGAACTGACCTTTGAACTCCCCACTTGACCCTTAGACAATATTAGAAAGCACACACCACTATGGAAGTTCTTTCAGGCTCTGGAGAGAGAAAAACAAAATTATTGTGGAACTGTTATTAGCATAGAACTACAGAATGTCAACATTTATGATGGAACTGTCATTAGCATAGAGCTACAGAATGCCAACATTTATGATGGAACTGTCATTAGCATAGAACTACAGAATGACAACATTTATGATGGAACTGTCATTAGCATAGAACTACAGAATGTCAATATTTATGTTGGAACTGTCAGTAGCATAGAACTACAGAATGACAACATTTATAATGGAACAGTCATTAGCATAGAACTAATAAATGACAACATTTATAATGGAACTGTCATTAGCATAGAACTGCAGAATGACAACATTTATAATGGAACTGTCATTAGCATAGAACTACAGAGTGACAACATTTATGATGGAACTGTCATTAGCATAGAACTACAGAATGACAACATTTATGATGGAACTGTCATTAGCATAGAACTACAGAATGTCAATATTTATGTTGGAACTGTCATTAGCATAGAACTACAGAATGACAACATTTATAATGGAACAGTCATTAGCATAGAACTAATAAATGACAACATTTATAATGGAACTGTCATTAGCATAGAACTGCAGAATGACAACATTTATAATGGAACTGTCATTAGCATAGAACTACAGAGTGACAACATTTATGATGGAACTGTCATTAGCATAGAACTACAGAATGGCATTTATAATGGAACTGTCATTAGGATAGAACTACAGAATGACAACATTTATGATGGAACTGTCATTAGCATAGAACTACAGAATGACAACATTTATGGTGGAACTGTCATTAGCATAGAACTACAGAATGACAACATTTATGACGGAACTGTCATTAGCATAGAACTACAGAATGGCATTTATAATGGAACTGTCATTAGGATAGAACTACAGAATGACAACATTTATGATGGAACTGTCATTAGCATAGAACTACAGAATGACAACATTTATGGTGGAACTGTCATTAGCATAGAACTACAGAATGACAAACTTTATGATGAATTATGAACAATTAAAGAAGAACACAAAATGTTTCTTATAATTGTGATGTAACCTTAAACGGTCAAATGTTTGCAACACAGGGGAGAAATGTTTGTATCTAGATCTACCTGGAAATGTAGGTAACAGTTATAGGCCTGCATGGAAAGTAATTTAGAGAAATATATTAATTGTATTCATGTTAATTCATCTCTTAACAATGCATCAACATAGCAACTGAATGAAAATAAGCCCTGATTATGTTAGGAGTTTTAAGTTTCATTTTATAATTGATTAGTCTACAGGTTACTAGATCTAGCTATTTACAATATTTTACACAAGGTTTTTTGCTCTAAGATATTACTGAAGAGTTTTTAGTTTCCTAGCAATTTTAAATTACACTAATGCCTAATTACTAATATTAGTATTAGGCTGTTACTAGTTATAGAACAGGGCCCACTACTTAAAGACCTGAAATAAAAGAACATTAAGATAAGTTTTTATGCTGATTTCAGTGATAGTTTTTACAACTTTTTTTTACAACACAATAATTTTATAAATAGAGCCTATATATATAGATCTACATTATAGATATAGAATCTAGATTTAGTCTAGTACTGTAGGGTTTGTTTTTTATGTTAGCTTCATAATTTTTAATTTCTGGCATTTTTGTTTTATTTAAGGCTAGTGTAGTAAAAGTTTATACTGCTACTGCTACAAATTTAAAGCTAGAAATCAAATCTCTAGAGATAGAATCTACTAGATCTAGATAGGCCTAGATCTAGGAGGACACTAAATCTAGATACTAGATATAATCTAGATCTAGGAGATTCGTCCTGATTCTAGATCTAGAGTAGATCTAGATATCTAGATCACAAAAGCTGAATGAAATCTTGGTAAAATCACGATACAACGTCGGAAATTATTGGGTAATGTTCATTGAGTTTCGGTAACATTCGTTACTGTAAACCATAGTTTATTTGACCGGTGAAATAAAAATAAAGTCAAGTGCATTAAATTAATGTTTTAACTTAATTTACAGTTTAATTGACAGAAAATTAATAACAGATAGAAAATCTAAATATTATTAATAAACTCGAGTGTAGTAATTAATTATTTTTTTTTTAAGAAACAGAAAAAACCTGCAGAAGATTTGCGACAACCAGCTCTTGTTCTGTTAGTAAATAAGACGATTAGATTAACTAAAGTTAAAAGTAGTAAGAATAACTAGAATAATGTTTAGTAGCAACAATAATTAGCACATACACTTAAAATAATTAGAAATACAAAATAATTAGCAAAACAGTAGGCCTATTTAAAATGCAACTAAAATCAATCCTTGCACATTTTTAAACATTATGTATTAAAAATAATATGGCGGCAAATAAATGATGGTTTACAGTATTTCCGGTGGTTTCCGGAACGGCTCGACAGACTACGCCATGGTTTTACTGTTTTTTACTGCTGTACAGTTCCGGAATAATAACCGACGCTATATCGCGATTTTACCGAAATCTTCATCATAATTCTCTCCATGTTTAAACAAAAGGCATGATTGAAATTAGTAATTAGATCTAGATCTAGGGCCTACTAGATCTAGATCTTCTAGTCTAATTACTACCCTACATTAATACTAATTCTAGATCTAGATCTATACTATGTCTCTAACTCTAAGACTAAGACTCTATCTTAGAGATTAAGAGTCTAGATCTAAGTCTAGCTACTAGCTAGCAGCTAGATGTATACATATTACATAATTTAATTACATATTACATTGGACATTGCAGTAAAACTAAAACTAGATTCGGTAAAACCTTAGTTTAGCGTCGGAAATTATCGGATAATGTTTGTTGAGTTTCGGTAACTAGAGTTACGGTAAACCATGGTTTATTTGACCATTGAAATATAAATAAATTGAAAGTCGATTGTAGTAGGCCTAAATTAATGTTTTGATTTTTTAAAGTTTAATCGACAAAATTAAACAAGAATAAATATAATAGTAGATTTAAATTAGTAGATCTAAAAATAAAAAAAACATTAATATAAATAATGAAGTCAAATGTAATAATTTAATGTTTTTTGCTTGCAGCGGATTTGCGACCATTAATTAATTAGATCTAGAATCTAGATAGATATCTAGCTGCTAGGCCAAGTAAAAAAATCTAGATCTAGATTACGAAAATAGTAAAAATGATTACAAAATGTAAAAATGATTACAAAAATAAATCTATCCAAATTTTAAACATTTTGTATAAAAATAAAAGATGACGCCAAATAAAGTATGGTTTACAGTACTTGCGGTGAATTCAGGAAGTGTGTGACAGACTTTGGCATTGTTTTAGTTTTACTGTTTTTTTACTGCTATACGATTCCGGAATAATAACCGACGCTAAACTAAGGTTTTACCCTAGATTCTAGACATAGAATTATATCTACTAGAATCTAGATCTAGATTTCTAGATCTAGATCTAGATAATATCTAGACTCTAGATCTAGTCTAGATCTGTGTTGAGAACGGAGACCAAGGATTTTGGAAAACTAAAAGCTGAGACAGAGTGTAACGCAGTCTCGACCCCTGACGTTCATCGCTAGCAGAAATGAAGATCGGCTTTCGATGGCCAGAACAGTTTAAACTTTTATTGCCATAAACATCTTTAAAGAAGCCAAAAAATAAAATTTAGTAGCAGTTCTACAATATCACTATCAAGTATCAGAGGCTGTAACATGAAATAAATATATCTAAATGGGAAAAATAAGAAGTGACGTTTGGATGTGGGAAATGGGGCGACGCCGCTCCAGTCCCAAGGCCGTCCTTACGAGTTAGTCAACTTTAATAATGTGTTCTGTGGTAAAAAAAAAAAAAACTATACTATTTGAAACAGTGTTTCTTCCCGCGTTTTTTTCTCCGAGGGAGGCACTAGAAATTTTAGGGGGGGGGGTCGCAGAAACTCGTAAAAATACATATTCTCCATATATACTCTACTTCGTTCGGGGGTGGGGCGTATTATCAGGTAGGTAATTTAATACTATTGTTAAAATATATCTCTTCTAATGATAATTTTTAAAAACAATTTGGATTTGCTTCTATAACCTAAGGCAGTTGTGGGCCTAATTGCTTGACTCTGGAGTTGTCTCCCCTTGATTTTTTACTGTCCCCAGTAACGCCAACGGTTTAAAAAAATATTGTCCAAGATTATTTAAATGATTAAAAACGAAATGTATTTACCTTGAATTTGATACGAATTTCAATTATCAAAATTAATCGATAGCCTAGAAAATGATTTGTGAAAAAAATGCCTTGGATTTTAAATGGCTACGACGATATGACGGATACGGTGGGGTAATTTTAAAGGACTATTGTTGTGACGTGATTTACTGTACAGTAGTAATAAATCGTTTACTAGATTTATTCCCATTAAATACAAACGGCAAAGTGGATGGGCTTAGTTAGCTGTTAACTCGATAAAGTTATTTTTTGGAAGGTTTTTTTAAACTACATATTACTTTTTAATTAATGAAAATAATTTAGTAGGACGTAATATATAATTTTCTATAGTTCAGAATAATTTTGAGCATTTTTACAAGAATATTAAATACTGTAATTAAAGTTTTGCCTAATGTATACGATTCTGCTCGATATTCTCAACGATTAGACCCAAAATGTACAAATGGCAGGTTTGTATCAAGCACTTTTCGTCAATTATTAAAACGAGGTCAGTATTGTTGAATAATACGCAGAAATAACGCTTATAAGTATATATTACTGAAATGACAATGAAACATTCGGATTCGTCGTTTTCGACAGCCATTATCACCATGACGACGATAAAAAGAATTAGGTCAAACGACAGACTACATAGAGCCTCATGTACACGGGTGTTTGAATTCGGAACTTCTCAGTTTAGCAGCAATATGCTTTACTGGCCCGACAAACGAATCAGTGACTGGCCTGTCTTTATATCTATGTCACCTTGCCATATAAAGTCCTATGGGACAATGGGCCCAACATCGGGAACTAACAAATTATCGCCCCCCCCCCCACAATTGGCCCAACATTGGGAACTAACAAATTATCGACGCCCCCCCCCCCCACCACGGCACTAACAAACCTGGTCACTGGTCAGCCTACAGGCTAGTTTTGTCACGTCTAGTCTGTCTGTTGTTCACTCCCCGTGGTAATCGTATTATCCTGTTTAGCAAATGCTTTTGAGGTTCCTCCAGTTTTATTTCGAATCCTATAAAGTTTACATTCAAATGTGGAGCTTACAGTACAATAAATACGCCAAATTATTATCATGGCAATAACATAATTTAAATGACAAAATTAAATACTGTCTATGGATATGGATCACCTCATTCTGAAATATTTTAATCTAAATAAGTTACCGGAAGTATAAACCAAATCGCGTTTGTGAGTATAAAACCTACATAATTAACACTTTGAAAAAAAGATATAATAGCTGATTATTTCCAAAATATTTTTCTTATTAAGAACAACTTTCTGATTCGTAAAACTTCAATGTCCTTACATTCAATATTTTATTCCGTGTATGATATTCAAAACATTTCTAATAACTTAAATAGTAGGCTATGTAAATGCATGTATTCTGTCTTTGTTGTAATTCGATTATTAAGTATTTTAATATGCATTTATAGTAATTATATATATATATATATATATATATATATATATATATATATATATATATATATATATATATATATATATCGTCATATTGCATTTACTTCTAATTAACTTGAAAATTAAAAGAAAAATTTCTGCAAGTTTGTCAATTTGGCAAGCCTTACCTTCAGAAGGTATCGGCGTTTTCTTTTATAAACTAGCATCGATTCTGATACTACACATCGCCTACTGAGTAATGAGTGTAAAAACAAAAAAGAATTATATGTAAGCAACTTTCAAAACATTTTATTACTGATATATAAACTTGAATTTAAGTTTTGTTTTTTTATTTATGTAAATTTTGCACATCCTACTAATGGCGGGAAAATATATTAACTACTTTATCGATATTATATGAGTATCGACTTCGAATTTGTGAAAATAGAAATAGTAATTATATTAACCAAAGTACCGATTATCAAACCTAGCGATGCAAGGTTAATTAATTGTAATTTCAGCAATCATTGGAGGTGATCCATTGACTTACTGGAAATTTAATGCAGAGAAATTACTTGCTTGAATGAAACTACTTAAAATATCGTGGCTAAACTCTTAAACAATAATTTAAATGTAAATAATTACCGATAAAATTGTACAATTAACAAAGCCCTTAATAACTACCTAATAAAGTTTAACTAGTAGAAATTATATCCTCAACAATGCACACACCAGTTGTGTAAGGAAGTCTTCTTCTTCTTCGTTCTTAATTTTTAGTGTTGGAAGGGATTGAGCCTTATCTGCTAGATGGTTTGAACTCAAGACATTTTTAGAATGTATCAACAACTGCGTTTGTAAATGATTAAAAAAATAATCTTCGTTTAAATAGGCAAATAGAAGTGCCTGCATTTATTTTATTGTAAAATAATGCGTACACCCATTTAATTTAAAATATTACATCATATAAAGTTATAACATACCTTGTCTCCTCTATTAAATGATAAGTTTATGATAATGCAGTTGCATGCAATAGTGGCCACGGTGGTTGAAATCACTGACAGAATGATCGACATATCTATTGTAAATATATAATATGTTTAATAAACGTATAGATTAAGTCTAGGTGAAATTCTAAGCATAAATAAAAGGCTTATATAGTATAGAATCGGCACCTGAACGTCTAGTTCATAGTCAGCCTCATTGCTCGTTACGCCGCATTTGACGATAGTCTCGTGTATTTTAGGTCGTATCGTAGGTTCCACACAGCTAGTCTTCTGTTTGGTCGATAGGGCGCTTGACTGATAACTCAACAGTAAACAGGTGAACTCTGCTTAATAGGGCCCTTGGACCGCCAGGTGCAAAGGTTAGATCTCCTTTTTTAGGGTCTAAGTTTATTAATGTAAATCTAAATAATGCGTGTGTGGTTAAGATTTTTTAGTTCAGATTATCTACTCATTCTTAATATGTTTATATTATTGTAAAAAAAGGGACTTCATTTTAAGAAAATGAAAATAATATGTGAGTCAGTTATTATTTTATATATCTGATTAAACTATTTAAAATATGCACAATTTTTAAAGATTGAAATGGTAGAAAGTACGATAAAGAGAGAGTGTACTTAAAATGTTTATAATTTAGTTCCCTAATCAAATATTTATTCTTTACATTTATATTAGAGTAATCTTAGAACAAATTAAAGACAAATTTATAAAAATTAGCTCAAATCGAAGATTATTTGAAATAAGAATGGTCTAACATGTTTAGATAATAAAACTAACCTAAATAATAAAAAGAATAATAATAAATCGGACGAACAAAACTGCAACCGTATTTTTAAAAAAATGTTTAACGCGTGGAAGTTCAGTGCTGTGACAACTAGAGAAGTGATCTTTATATAGCCTACATGGCTGGCATTTTATTGCTATAACGATTCTTTTAAAATATAGGACCTGTTTTTTTCTTATCTCTCGGTAGAATGAAACAGTTATATCTCCCGTGACTCTGCCTGACCACAGTAACCGAACTTTACCTGTACCTGTACGCTGAAATCTATCGGTGGCTATTTTGATATTTTTATTTGTTCTACACTTTTTACGACTTCAGCAGGGAACATACTCTAATAGCCGTATATATTTATGAGTCAAAACTATAAATATTCGTACCTGACATTTATTTCATAAGATCTATTTAAATTCTGGGACAAAGTTTGTCTACACAAAGAATCCAAGACAAATTATAGAGAAGTTAAACTGCCTGCTTTATTAGGTACAGGTTGTATAAACCGTCGTATTGCGCAAGTCAAAAAAATTTCCAGTGTTGATCATAAAACTTTACCCGCTGTAAATGATTAAGATTTTAGAGATAGATCAGGAGACTTAAATCATGCGGGTTAAACATTTATTTAATGTCACATTTCTAGAAAATATGATACGTCAAGATTAATAATAAATAGTTTTCTCTCTATTTATGATCTTGATGAAAACGCTGGATTAAAAATTAAATGACTAGACTTGACCTTGATTTGTTTTTTACATAACCAGTGTAACGCTTAGAGATAAAGTAAAACTTTGTTTAGAATACCTTCGCACACAATTTTTCAGGCTTATTAAATCCCCCTATTTAGACAACTCAAAGCTGATTGAGGGGGGGGGGGGTGACCATATGATAGACTTGTGGGAGAAAACATAGTGAAGTCAGTCCAATGTTAGCTAAAGGTACCAGTAATGGTAGGCCATGAACTGGAATGGGCAGGTTAAACCCCCAAATAGAAATTTAGGTGTTAGGACCTTTTTGAGTGATAAGGAAGTTGTAACAAGCATAGTATATGAAAAAAATGCAAAAAAATCACTAAAAAGTTATGGTTTTGAGAAAATATTTTCAAAAAAGTGTCATTTTTAGGGTAAAATAGCTCAAAATTAGCTCTCATTGAAATCAAAATAACACAGCTTCTGTTAGTCAGAATAACACAAATCTTTAATATAGTGTAATATACGCAATTACAAAAAAGACGAACTAAAACAAATAGAAAATAATAAAAAATGGATTTTAGCCAAATTTTTTAAAAGTGAGACCTAAAATTTTTCCAAAAAGTAGGGAGTAGACTTAGCTTTTTTTTTTATAAAATGAGAAGTTTCAAAGATATAGAAATTCTTTTAGTTCAACTTTACAAGCAGTGTTTAGTAAACATGTGTGCAAAATTTCAGCTAAATATCTCAAGTAGTTGTGGATTTATAGTGATTTGACTTGTACAATTTTGTTGAAAAGTAACATTTTGAGAAAAACGCTAAATAGTGAAAAATATACTAAATTAGAAAAAAACAAGAAAAAGCGAAAACTATACCAAATAAGTCATTTTTAAAACCTCCCAGTTACATAAATTGCATCTGGAGCCTCTTACTCAGCAATAAGAACATCTATTTTAGTTAGTTTTTAATTTTTATGTTGCTAAATGTTGCTTAATATAGGTGAATTACGTCATTAGTCTCATTAATTAAAAAATTATAAAAAAATACTAGCAATAAGAAATTTTGGAAAATTATTATACAAAAATGTTCAGAATTGAATGTAGTTCCAGAAACAATAGTTTTTAAAAAATCAACATTTCTGACTTAAATATGTATTTGGGGGGGGGGGGGGGGGGGGTTAACCTGCCCTTTAATGTAGAAGTAGACTGTTTGAAAGGAGTTGGAATACTTACTGATAGACATGGTAGTTCATGAACTGGAATAATTTAATATAGAAGTAGACTTTGTTTGAAAGGAGTTGGAATACTAATAATAAGCTCCTGTACGGCAGCTATGTTAGGTTTAAGGTGATGGAAACGGTAGGTTTGTAAGGAGGTGGCAGGAGATTAGAAAAGGTGTCTTACGTGAAGGAATGTTGGTGGTTGAGATGGTTTACGGGTTGGTGGTGCAATATACAGACCGTTAAAAAAAGATCGGGTATATGGTTGTATACACTTATCTCAAGCTCAATGATATTTTTTTTTCTCGACATTGAAATGACCTTGTGCACAGGAAAAGTTCAGCTATTAGTGAAGTAGAAACAGAAGCACCTGAATGTCGTGGACCCAACTTAGAGAAATCGCCGAAAGTCTTGTACAATGGAGAGGTGTGGTTACGTCCCTGTTCCCCACAAATGTCCAGTGAATTATGACAATGATGATGTTAATGACCTTGTACAAGATTTTGTTCATGTACCATTTACCAAACTTTTTGTTTCTAAGCCTGAGGATACTGATTTTACTGACAGCTAAAGGCATGATGGCTGATGCCTGGCACTTAAAACTGAGAGTAAGACGGTTAATTATGGAAGGGGTCACTCTGATTTCAAACTCCCGCTGTTTTTGGTACTAAGGAGGTTTCTATCCTCAGCTAACCTAGGCTCTACTATTAATGACAAGAACGCATATACTAAAATCCTGTCGTTACGTAGCGTACTATACATCATGGAAATCTCATGTAAAAATCATTTCTTCTTCTTAGTTCTTACTGTTGAAAGGGATCCCCTCCAACACAATTAAATATACGTGTCAACTAGTTAAGCGCCAGTTAGGCCATTGACTCCGATTACAGCCTGCTTTTCTTTTTGATTTGATTCCATTGCCTTTGTCCAACCAAAAATAATTAAACACATGTGTAAAACTTTTATAGTTATAAGCTTTTAAATGCACTAAGAATGAAAAAAAAGGTGCTTGCATTAATAACAGCATCGGCCGTTCATTAAACGTTACACATTTTGGCCACCTTAGAATATATTAGAGAAAGTAAGTTTATTTTAATTTCTCATTGTCAGTGCGTTAAAAGCTAAGTAGGCCTAACAGTTTTTTATATTTGTTTTTTTCCTGCACGTTAGCGCTTTGTTTTTAATGAAGTTGACAAAACAAACGACTAAAAATATTTGCGTTAAAACACGATCGGTAGCTCTCGGTTTCTAAAAGGCAATCATCTTCCCTTTCTTAACGTCCCTGTGTATTACTAATGTCCGTGATTAATTCAGTTCACCGCTGACAACAAACTTAATCTTGTTATCTTGTTACATTACATTTTATTACTAACGAGCCGACCCGCGGCGTATCATACGCCGCTATTTAGTTGATTTATTTTCTACTTTTCAGTAATTCATAATTTATGAATTCGACAGTACCAATGCTGCCATTGAAAATATTTGCTTTAAAACACTAACCCCCCTCCTTTCCGCTAACCCCGACCCTACACCCCCCCCCCCCCCCCGTAAAAGAAGCCTCCTCTTAGTTACCTCCTGTAAGTTTAAAGTC